CTACTACAACAAGAAGTACAACAACAGTTACAACAACTACAATAAGTACAGCAAATACTACATCAAGTACAACTACATTAGCTACAACATCAACTGCTACAGCCACCACAACACCAGTTACTACAACAAGTCCTACAATTACTGCAACAACAATACAACTACTATAACTACAACACCAACTACTACGGCTACTACAACTACTACAACAAAAACAACTGTAACAACAACTACAACTAACATATACAACAACATGTACAAGTACAACCAACAACCACTACAAGTACAACAACTACTCCAACAACTACAACTGCTTTTACTACGGCAATAACAAAAATACTACGAACAGTAGTAACAATGAAAAGATAAAAGTGGAACATGAAACCACAGAACGGTTCTTTCAACAGTTCCACTGAGTAACTCTGCTGCAGATGTTCCTCTGAGAACTCTTTAAACTCTGAACTTTTATTTGACGCTTTGAAGTCGCCGTTTCTTTGTCGTGAGCTCTTTAAAGTTCTGAACGTCGTTGGGAGTCGAACCAACTTCACTGGATACGACTTTTACTGTAAAACCACTGAAGAGTCGTCACAGGAAATACTTCATAAAGTACTACGACCTGGTGTCCTCGTGTAGACGGACGTTGATGTTTGTTCTGCTGTAGAGACGCTACCTGTGGTTAACCTCGTTTTATTTTTACTTTTTATTGGTTGTGTATTTTTGAGCCGATCACCTGGAATCTGTTCCAACAATCTCCTCAAATTTATCTCGTGTTCAGCTGTTTTTTTTCTCTCTTTTTGGAATTTCTATTTGATGTTTTTGTCCTTGTTTGGCTTCATGACACGTCTTCACACATGAGCAGCAAAAACACGATGTAGGAAATAAACAAGATTAACACTGAAGTTTTGTCACGTGGCCGAGTCGTAGCTTTTCAGTTGCACCAAGAAGAATTCTTAGTTTTTTACAGAATCTGGAGTTTATTTTTGGTAAATTTAAATTTATTGTTTTGCATTTTTATTTTGTTAGTCGTCTCCCATCTGTGTAAAGATGCATTTCAACCTGAGAGTCCTGGAATTATTGCGAACAGGGCGAACGTTGCAGCTGAGTGACTAAAACGTTCTCAGTTGCATCAGGGAGAGCAGAATTTTTAATTTTTTAAAAAAACCAAAAAAAAAAAAAAAATTTATTGTGGGGAATAAAAAACCTCCACAAAGAATAAAGCGATTTTTAATGAAATATCACAATTTTAACGTCTAGTTTTGTCTAATTTTCCAAATGAAACAAAACCTCAAACATGATAACTTCAATTACCGCTAGAAAGTTGGAAATCCAAAGATTTTTTCTGTTTTTGCAGCTTCTGCCTCCGATAAGTGCTGCAATTTCTGTGATTTGTTTTGTATTTTTAAAAAAACTTGCATTTCCAACCTGCCATTTAATCCCACTGGTGTTCAGTTCTAACTGGTTTATTTTGGTGAGTTTACTGGGATTTCCTTCCAGAACGATGAACTCAGTTTGCTCCTGTTTATGAGGATAAAAATGTTCTTTAGTCATTAAATAGCTGCAAGATTTAAAGAAGAAGTCATAAAATGTGTTGAGTGAGGACAAACCAGTGGTTCTAAGTTCTAGCAGCTGAACGTTATGGATTCATTGTGTAGTTTTTCTTCTTCTTATTTCCTTTAATAAAAACTCAAACTGCTTCAGACTTTGTTGGAAAAATCAGAATAATTTACGACTAAATAGCAGCAAAGTTTGAAGACTTTACTGTGAAAGCTGCCCAGAGATTATCCAACAGTGATGAAATAAAAACCACTTCCTGCTGGTTTGACCGCGTTGCTGCATCAGTGTCGACTTTACGGCCCGTCAGCGGCTTTAATTCGTCCATCAGCCGCCCTGGTCTGAACCGAGCGACCTCGGCTGCAGACGGAGGATTAAACGCCGATGTCGGGGTCGTTCGTCTGACTTCTCAGACGGTTATTAAAGCTAATCGATGTTTGGTTAGAAAAAAAAAGAAAAGCTCCTTTTCTTCCTCAGTTGTGTTTCCAGCATCAGATAAGAGCTTCAGAGGACGTTTGAACGGAGGCGTGGAGGCGCGAAGAGTCGAGCTCTCCCGACCGTTTATCGACTTATAAGTGCAGATGTTTTCGCTGAACCAGCAGTTTGACATGTTTCAGTGACTTTTCTCTGCAAAACTTTATTAAAAAGGATTCAAAGATGAAGCAAAAACTGTTTTTATTTAAATAGTCAAAGCGACAAATGCAGCTTTAACTTCAAGAAGCTGCTGTAGTTCAGACTTTTACAGGTTTGCAGCCATAAAACTGGATTAAAATGTGCAGGACAGTTCTGCAACCTTTTCTGTAAATGTCTTGTTTAAAGGATTCAAACCAGCGATTTATTTTGTGAAAAGTGAACTTAATAAAGTGAAATAAGCAAAAAAAAAAAAAGAACAAGAAAATAAATTCATGAAAATAAATAAAATGGGAAACAAAGCGTAAAAATGCAGTAAAACAATAAAAAAATAGCTAAAAATTGATTTGAGAGACTAAAATGTTAAAATAAAAAGGAATCAAATTTAATATCGTAAAAATAATTAAAATAAAGTTTTAAAAAATGTGTTTGAACGACGTTTAATCTAAAGCAGGTCAACGTATGGAGGGACTGTCACTGGAATAAGCAGAAATGTTTAATTAAGTCTTCTCTTTGTTTTTAAGCAAAATAAAGTTCGTTAAAGGAATCAGCAGCTTTTAAAAACACTCCCTCGTTAAAGGATCTCCTCGTTCTGCTGCAGACGTCGTGAATCTGCTGCACTGCTTCGTGTCAGGAAACGTTTGTGTTTCCGTCCAGTTTAAATCTGTTTACGTTTTTCCATCACACCCGTCTGACTTTTTCTATTTGCAGTTAAACGAGAGTCAGATGATGCTTCACGTCTGAGCATCATGTGCTTTAAGAACAGCAGCGACTCTGTCCACAAATCAGCAGCTTCATCTGGGTTCACACAACGACCGGATCCGACTTTCTGAACCCGTCGAGCGTTCTCAGTGACAGTTTGATGGTTTTTACCTCCTACGAAGCCGATTTGTCACCCCGTCGGTCTCACATCGAGGCTCTCTGCAGCAGGAGAAGCTGCAGTTTCAGTTTTTACACGATGATCGCTTGTTTACTCCAAACAGGAGCGAATGTTTTACCCAAAAAACAACAGTTTGGGTTGGAACGAACCTTTAAAACGCTAATTCACTCATTAGAAAATACTGTGTGGCTCAAATAAACCTTAAAAACTACAAGCGGTTTGTTAGAAAAGTGGGATTTATATGAATTAAACCCTTAAAACTGCAAGTATTCAGACAAAAAGTCGTATTTTAGGTGAAGTGAACACTCAAAACTATACATACCTGAACAGAAAGTGGTATTTTTAGAGGAATAAACCTTTTAAAAACCACTTGTTTGTTAGAAATTTAGTATTTTAATTTAAACAAACCTGTAAAACTATTCGTACTTGGATGTAAAGTTGGACTTTTGATGGGATGAACCTTTAAAACTCCACGTACTATGATGGAAAGTTGTATTTCTGGTTGGATGAACCTTAACTTTTCTCTTTCTCTGCTTCATCCTGTATGTTTTTTTTCTGTTTTTCTGTTTTTAGGTGAACCTTTGTTCTCCGGCCAACAATGAAACGTACCAGGAACGTCTGCTTCGTCTAGAAGGAGACAAGGAGTCGCTGGTGCTGCAGGTCAGAGCTCGATACGCTTCACACTTAATTAAAGCTGCTTTCACCGAATTTAATTTAAAAAAAAGATGTTGGTGGTTTTGGTAAAAGGTGTTTTTCTCTTTAGAAAAAAAAGGGACAAAATTATCGGGTTCTTCAGAGCCACGAACTATAAAGGCAGATTTTTCAACTTTTGCGGCATTTGGGAAATTTTAAAAAATCTAAACTACAAAATTGTGATATTTAATTTTTAAAAAAAGTTTATTCTACAGGTTTTGATATTTTAAAGAAAGTTAATCTTTTATATTAACCAGATTCTTTAAAAGATGAAAAATTGTGCAGATTTTTCCAAAAGTCTTTAAACTACTCATCTGTGACTTTCCATTTATTTAAGAAAATTAACAAATCGAGGCTTAGAACTGAGATATTACATCAAAAATAACATCTACTTAAAAAAAAATATCCCAGAATAAACTTTTTCTACCAGATTCTATTAAAAAAAAACAAATTTTTTTTGCACTTCTCAGCACAACCATGAAGCTTTTAGAGACTCGGCTGCAACCACGATTCAAAACTTCAGAGTTTTGGTTGAACTGCCGGCGGCGTTCCCACAGAGCAGACGAGTACAGAATATAATAAAAAATATGAGAAGAAAAATAATATTGACACATTTATACAGCTTCATGTTTACATAAATAATGTCATTTTGTAGGTTTTTTAACAAAAAAAAAAATCTGATCGCTAGCATGCTAACAAACCCGACGCTAACATTCTGACGTTCGTCTGGTTTCGTGTTTGACGTTTTTGTTTGTTAATCCTCGGAGGCTTGTTGCTT